CAACCCTACACTATCTATATTTCATGTTTCATTTTATTACGAAGACATTTTACATGTCGCCTAACCTTCTAAGCCTTTGCTTCCCAAACTGAGGGCCCCAAATGTTCTTGAACTTCTGTTCCTACACACTCTGACTATTGGCTGTACTGACTAGGCTTCTAGGAGTTGTAGTCGAAAAATACCTGGTTGCTAAGTTTTGGAACCACTGGTATAAAAGTCGGCAGGGCCACCTAATTTTCCCAGTCCCAGACTGTGAACTGTGATCTCACAGCCATAAATACTCAACTCCCAAACAAACTGCACCAGAGCACAGAGTGTTAGTCCTGTCCTCTGAAGATGTCGGCCACAGGCTGGTGAAACATTAGGAAGAACAACCTTCAGAAACCCACAACAACCAAAAGGAGCATGTGTTGGATTGTGTGAGCTGAAAGGGCTTACAGGGTTCCCATGATCTGGATGTTCGCCTTGTCAAGGTTCCAACAAATGACTGAAATGGCTTACAGGCACCTTTGCATTCCACACTTGAAGCTCTTGTTGACTTCTGGGTGGGGTGAAGTGTAGAGGGGAGGCTTGTGTGCATCCCCAGCATTACTTGAACAATACACGGGTTTAGGAGTAATGTCTGAGTGGGACTACAGTTCAGAGGAAATGAGATACTAAAGTCTGAAACTGAGCTTGTGGTGACCATGAAGCACTAGTGCTGGTGTTTCAAGGTGACTCTCCAAATTTTGAATAAAGCAAAGCTACATCGAGTGGTTTATAAACATCACATGTTACGTGTGTGTGTGTGTGTGTGTGTGTGTGTGTGTGTGTGTGTGTGTGTGTGTGTGTGTGTGTGTGTGTGTGTGTTTTGTGTGTGTGTGTGTGTGTGTGTAAGAACTTTTAATTAGCTCTTCAAGTGACAGACCCAAACACTAAAAGACAGGGAGGAAATCCATACGGACAGGATCACAGAACAGGCTGTTCTGTCAAAATGCACCAAAATTATCTGATGTCTTTAAATGTGATATAAACTTTGGTAAAGCTTTTTTTAAAAAAATCACAATGAAATCATACTCCTATGTTTCAAAGCATAATATTTTAGAATACTGTAGCAGGTTATGAGAACTTGTTGCTGAAAACAGTTGCTTCTAAATGGCAAAGACCCATTGTCATTGGGCCAGGCAGTAATAGCAGTCTCTATATATGTCTGTTCAAACAATAACATGGAGCCCTTTCAATAAGAATAAAAATTAAAGAATAAGAAAACAAAAATAAGAATACAAGAAGAATAAATCATAGATAATCTTCACATCTCTTAGAATCTTAGATTCTTAGAAATGCCTTAAAACCTTCTGTGTTTATCTTGCTGCAGAAAAATCATGACTTGTCTTTTGAAAGATGAAGAGAATACAGATTGCTTCACACATATTAAAAATAGATTAACCTCTCTTCTCTGCTCGCACCAAAGAGTAAGCTCTCACTTTGGTATTCATATATAAACTGTAATTTCTTGTACACAGTAAGGCTGAAATCTTATATCCACTTATCTGGGATCAAGCCCCATTGAACTCTTTGGGACCCATGTCTGACCAAATGTGCAAGAAAGTGCTGTAAAATTCATTTCACTGTCAGAAAAAGTATTGTCTGATTCAATCTTTGCTATTTCTTTCTGGTTTTTGTACAATATGGCTGGTCCATTTTTATTAAACAGATAATAATCTTACCAGTGTATGTGATCACTGTGCATAGTGCAGTTTCACTTTAGTTCAAGAACCTTTATGTAGTTTCCTCAAGCATTCATTTGAGGCCCCATAAATACAAAAAATAATGTTTAGAGGCCTAATTTAATCATGGTTAGTGTCAGTTCCATTGATTTCAGTGAATCTACTATAAGCATGAGCGTATTTGAATCCAACACAGTGATTCCACATGTGCAGAGTAAACATAAGCTGGAGTGTAGGACACAGAAGTGAGCTATATGGAGTCTTAGCTTTCATTCTTGTTTTAAATGCTGCAGTAGAACTATGTTTGAAAGGGTATGGAACAGTACTTAATTCTAAGGATTCAGCAGGATGACTGAATAAGATTCTTGTATTTATAGTGGGCAATATTTCCATGTTTTTCTTAACATTTCTCTGTGTCTAGGAGAAGTATTTGTAGTTTGTTTGGTTTGGTTTGGTTAATATGCAACATGGCAACCTATTGTAAGATCCAGATTTTCTTAACATAGAAATTGAGTTATCTTGGTTCCACCTTCCAAGGGATAGGTTTTTTCCCTCTGTCTTGAGAACAAAGTACAGTGGTGCCTTGACCTATAAACGTTCCAACATACGACCATTTCGAGTTATGACCAGCTCTGGCCCCAAAATTTTGCTTCGACTTGTGACTGGAGCTTCAAGTTACAACCAGGAAAAGGCAGGAGGAAAAGGCGGGGAATTCAAACTGCTAGCCATTGGTGGCGAAGAGGCTGCTTCTTTGTACCTCTTTCACCCTAATGGTTAGAGAGTGTTCAATCGGAGGAGGCTTCGGGGTGCCTGGTAAGGTGCTGCTTTCTGCTTTCGAAAAACTGTTCTGGTGGGTTTTGCAGCATGGTTTTGGGATGGGTGGTGGGATTATGTTTCTATTCTGTGATGGGTCTTGCGGGGTCTGTTTTGAGGGGTCTTTTTCCCATTTCCAATGGGTCTTCCAGAGTTTGTTTCTTTTTTGATTCCCCCCCCATTTCTGATGGGTCTTGCAGGGTTTGTTTGCTTTTTGCTTTGCTCTTTCTGCATTTCTAAAGGGTCTTGCATGATTTGTTTGCTTTCTGCTTTGCTCTTTTTGCATTTCCGAAGGGTCTTGCATGATTTGTTTGCTTTTCTTTCCCGCCTACCCCTTCGGCCGGAACAGATTAATCGTGTTTCAGATGGGTCTTGCAGTGTTTGTTTGCTTTTTGCTTTGTTTTTCTTGCATTTCCGAAGGGTCTTGCATGGTTTTTTTTTTGCTTTCTACTTTGCTTTTTTTGCATTTCCGAAGGGTCTTGCACAAGTTGTTTGCTTTTCTTTCCTGTCCGCCCCTTCGGCCAGAACAAATTAATCGTGTTTCCGATGGGTCTTGCATGGTTTGTTTGCTTTTCTTTTCTTTTTCTCTTCGGCCAGAATGGATTAATCGCATTTCCAATGGGTCTTGAAGTATTTGGGTTTGTTTTTTGTTTGTTTGTTTGTCTTTTTGTGATTGTTTTCTTCAGCTGGAACGGATTAACAGATTAATTGCATTTCAGTGCATTGCTATGGGAAATTGTGCTTCGACTTACGACCATTTCGAGTTACGACCAGAGTTCCGGAACCAATTAAGTTCGTAAGTTGAAGCACCACTGTACACATACACCAAACTCCAAAGTACATAAGTATGTTTGAAAACTCTGGTGCTTCTCTGAGTATTTTCAAAGGCAGTCTTTTGGCAAACCTTTTTCTTAGTCAAACTTCTTGTGACAATGGCAACTCCTCTGTGCTCTGAACTATTTTGATCTGACCTGCTTTAGATATTTCAAAATCAGTTTGTTTCAGCATATAATGGGGACTGAAGCATACAAATACAGGCAGCGACCTTTGGTATGTGTGGGGTTAGTTTAAAATTCAAAAGGCATATTCATAAAGTCACTGCATATTTAACAACTCTTAGTTATTTGAAGGCTTAGTTGTTTGGAGTGCTGTTTGCATTTCCCAGTTCTTTGCTAGCTAGAAGGGAGAAGCACTTCTTCCATATATTTTCTGAAGAGCTAACACTTCTGATTCCATTCAGACTGGGATTTTCTGCTGTCAGGAAAAAGTCCTGCAGTTCTTCTGTACTTTTTGTTGTTGTTGTTGCTAAGGCTTTTAAACCTTAAATTAAGTATGCAGGTTACTAGAGAAGGGTTATTTTGTGCCTTCCAGAATAGAGAGGAGGATAATAAAGCCTTTGCATCTTTTGTTATAGTTTGTTTGTTTAAATGTTTGTATGCCATCTTTCTCCTAAAAGGATCTAAGGTGGATCTAAGATGGCACAGTATTTAAAAAATAGTTGAAATATTTGAGTGAAGATTGGCATATCTGCTAATCTAGTGGTTCTCAGCTCTTGATGTCCTAAATCCAACTGATCACTTTGTTAAGCAATCTTGAGTCCTTCAAGGAGAGAAACAAAAACCCATTTGCCCTGAGCAGAATAAGTTTGCAGGTGTTCTATTACTGTATTTAATAGTTGCCCTATCATCATCATCATTTTAGAACTGTGGAGCTGGAAGGGACCCTATGAATCATCGAGTCCAGCCCTTGTCAAGGAGGCACAGTAGGGAATCAAACCTCAAATCTCTGGCTCCGCAGCCAGATGAGCAGCTACTGAGCTATCTAGCATGTCAGTGGCTTGGAGAAGAAGGGATAAGAAAGTCCAAATTTTCTTAAAACATAAGGAGGGAAAATCACAGATGAAAATTTTGTGGAAGATAGGATTGGTGGGAGACCCGATATACTTGCAAGAAGACATGGGGAGGGAAAGCACTTTCTTAGTAACTATTGTGAAAATTCTGCATCCCACATAGACTGTGTCTTTATCCCACCAGTAGTACATGTACAACTCCTTGCTTTACCTCTGCAAGGAAGCATTGGTCTCTTTATACTTGTCATTAGTCACAAAATTTTGGACAGGAGGTAAGTAAACATGTCTGTTCCAACGTGAGCTTCAGGACGTAGTTGAGTGTTCCCAAAGGGGTTTCTAGTTTTCATCTAAGCAGTTTTGAAGGACTGCAGGAAGTATTTTTGTCTAACATAGTAGATCCTGTTGTGTGAAATTGCTTGTTCTCAACCACAGAGCAGATGTCCAATTGAGCATCTACAAACGAGCTCTGGGGAAAATCAGGAAGGGCTGCCTTCCACAACATTTGTCTGCCTAAATCAGTTCTTGACAGTAGCAAAAATATTTGCTAAATTTCATTAATGCTAAGGACAGCAAACAGAGTCTCAAAAGAAAGGAAGGCTTGATCATAGTCCCCATTTCTTCTCCTTTTGTAGCTGTTGCACGATAGCCCAAAAGCACGACAGGAGGTGGATCATCATTGGCGGGCTTCTGGCTGCCCCCACATTGTCCATGTTCTGGATGTTTATGAGAATATACATCATGGAAAAAGATGCCTCCTAATCATAATGGAGTGGTAAGTTTATTCCCTCTTAATCCATGTCTTGGAATGTTTAGAAGATTGTACAAGTTGTATAATGCATCACATACCTCTTTAGAAAACACTGGTAGCCTGATTTCGGTCCCCTCTAGAGCTTTGTTGGTATCATAAATGATCATGATGTTTTGCTTTTAAAGAAGCAGATGGAAACTTGGGAAAAAAGCCTTGCCTGCACATGCCTCTGTACTGTGCATTTGCACCTCTCTGCATTTTGCTGAGTGGTTATTGGTCCTTATAAAAAAGAAATCTGACCTCATCCAGAGAACCCAGTGCCAATGTGAGACTGCTCCTCAGGGGTCTGAGTCCATTCTGGGCCTGAAGAAGTAAAAGCCACATCTTATGTCAAGAGTTGCTCCACATTAAGAGCTTCCTGCTTTGTTTCCAGAAGTTTGTGTTGCTATGAACTGAACTGTGCTCGGCAGTAAAAAGAATATTGAAAGAGGGCCTGTCTAACCCACCATCCTCTGTCCTACAGTGTTCAGCTGGAAGCTTCTGAGAACATGAGGGAGATTATCCTCCCCAATGAGAAACACTCTGCGGGGGATGCTGTCTGATCTATCTGTTTGAACCAAAGATTGAACTATTTAATTTATGCACAGTCTTCAATTAGCAATCAATAATTTATATATGACCTTCCATTGTTCAATTAGTACATTTCCAGGGTGGTTAATGTAGTTTGCACCCATTGCAAATGAGAAAGAACTGAGCTTCTGGGGGCCTGCTGTCTTTTGCCAGTAAAGCAACAAAAATCACCACACAGATGCCTGAGGAAAGAGGATCCCAACAGCCCTCAGTTTGAGTGGAGACACCAAAACAGGATGGTGTGATTCTAGATGTGGAGTGTACTCATTCTGCACACCTAAGATGCCCCACAGGATTGCCCCATTTTCTAGCAAATGCCACAAAATTAACTGTGTGCTGTGTAAAGAAGGATCCCATTTCATCTCCCAGGAGTGTCCCATTATCTAACTTAATTTCATGTTCTAGTATTATCAGACCTTGTCTCTATGCACCTTTTCCATGCCTTGTGTGATCTTGTGTAACTCTGTTGTGTCTCCACTCACTTTTTTCCTCCTGAACTTGAATAAATCATGTCCTAACTCTCTTGATATTCCTTGCGTGCTGTGGAGGATAGGTCCTTAAGGGTGTGTATGTGTTTGTAAGCTCCTGTACAGACATGATCAGAAATAATGAATAAATTAATCTGATTGGTTCAGTTTACCTGCTGACCTTACAACTTGTCAGGAAACTGGAAATGTAAGGGTGGAGACAGTGCTTGGGTTTTTAATTCTGTAGTTCTTATAATTCATCTTGACTATTAAGTAAGGGAATATCTGATTCCCACCCACCCCCACAATCAGTTTGAGATATATAAGTTATTGTCATTGTAAGTATATACATAGTATACCCATACTGTATAACGAAATTCACACAGACACCCAGAGACCAGACCCACATGCACATAAAAAATCCCCAAACACTCCCTACCCACTAAAAATCCCCCCACTAAGAATACAGTCATCTATAAACATCTACTGTAGATATGGGCTTTGTCTGTCTATGTTTTTCTATTTCACATTCTAATTCAACATACAGTGTGTTTGCTTCGAACACATTTTTTCTTTTCACTTTTCACACATTTGTATCTGCACATACATGTGTTCATGCACACACATGTGCAGTTTTTTACAGAGCTTTTATAGGTCCGATTGGAAAAGGAGATGAAAATTGCATGATGTATAAAAATGTAGATTTATTAAACAGTTCTTCGGGGCCTTCTCCAGGGGCTATACACTACCCAGAGTAATAATTTCACTAGATAAGCAGTATAAAAATATATGCATACTTACCTAGAAAGCAAAGAGGGGCAATGCAGCAAGTGGGCGTCATAATAGGTCCATTCAAACCCATCTATGTAATTTTTATATTTTGATACTATGTTATATTGGACCATCTAATTTTTTTGTATATTTTGTTCACAATGAGAGCATTTTTTCTACTCAGTGTGTTATTCCTCTTTATTGTCTTTCTACAACTTCTGAAGCAGACCACAAACTGTTTGGGCTAGAATGCATTGGGAGATTTTAAAAATAAAATAGATCTACATTTATATACATGCTGACACTTTTGTCTCTTTTTCATAATTGTATCTATTGGATGTTTCAAGTTCCTTTTGTTTTGTTTTATTTTTAGAGTGTTTATTCCTCTTCAATAGTGCCTTTCTTTCATTCTCTGCTTCTCTTGTTTTTGTTACCCATTCAAGAAATTTGATGGCATCAGAACTATAGGGATTAGTGTTAGCCTCCGTGCAAGTACTTACTGTCTGTTGTGCTCATTTCCAGTGAGGTCAGATAACAGCAGTGCTTCAGCTCTCCTGACAAGATTGCCTGTATGTTAAACCTCAGGCTTTAAAGCTCATTGTGCTCTTAATTTTCTTCCTGATTCAGACATGCATATATACATACAAATACCAATGCAGGTGTGTAGGTGTGCTTGCATTTGGTGCAGGGTTATGGTTTAGGCCAAACCATAGCCTAAACCTTATTGATGACAGTTGAATTTAAATAGCCTGAACACATGATTGCAAACTAGTCAAGGAATGTGCATGCATGATTTGCGTGTGTGTTTTCTGTATTTGTCTGCTTGTCTGTTATACGAAAAATATAACTTAGGTAGTAAGTAAACCAGTAGAAAGATCACATTATCCCACACCAGGGTTTCTGGGTCTCAACCAAGAGATTGATTGCTTTCAAACTCAGGAAGCCATGTGGAGAGCACAGGCACTGTCATTGCACTAACTTTTCTGCAGGCTGCCTTCTTTCTCCTCCCACCCCCAACCAGAGCCACAGCTTTTAGCCTTGTTGTAAGTGATCAGGGGTGATGGCTAAAAGAAGAGAAGTAGGACTGAAAGTGCAGCAGTGGTACTCTGTCTCCTGCTGTGTTAGCATTTTTAAAATAATGGATTGGTTTTCCAGCTTGTGGTCAAGTAAAGTGAGCTAAAAGAAAAAAAGATCTTAGTTGCATTCTCCAAGGGAAGTAAATTCTGGTATAGTCACTGTGAATATCTCTCTCCAGCCTCTTGCTATTTGAACATGACTTACAAATGAGACCATGAGGGAATGGTTGATAATTTGTAATACTTATAATGTGGCTGTAACAGAGATAGGAAACATGGACTCCAGATATTCCTAGTGTGCCCTAAATGGTGTAGCCAACTGAGAGCAATCATGGAAGTCACAGTATCACATCCACATTGCCACACTTTCTCTAACCTCAGCTATAGGAACATTTCAAAGACATGCAACATCCAAGCTCTTGGGGGCTTTTATAGACTTTGTGGAAGGACTATAGGAAGTGCACACCATGAAATATTCATAGAATGTACTTTTCTTTACTGAGATATTCTGTGATGTTGATAAGACCATAGCAACAGCTTTTGGGCACCATTTGAGAGCAATAAGACTGATGTTAGAAACACATAACAGATATGAAATGAGAACTCCTAAAATTAGTTTCTGAAATGAGAACCCTTCTGTGTTTGCATTTGAATCATTTATGTATGTGCATGCTTTGTTCACAGCATGGAGGGAGGGGAGCTGTTCAGCAGGATCCAGGAACGAGGAGACCAAGCATTCACAGAAAAAGGTAGAGCATTACAATGCTTTTGTGAATATTTTGTTTACAGAAGGTTGTTTGTTTATTTGTTTTGATTATTGGAAAGAAAACCCACATCAGATTGTGTCTACTGAGATATAATTTGTGATAGAATTCTTATTTTTTCATTCTTAAGTTGTTCAGATCCAATATAAGCAGGTATTTAACTTTTGTATCCTTTTTCAAATGAGTACCTTTCCATTTTGAATACTGAGGCCGTAGTTCTACAACCTATGGAGTGGTAGGTCTAATTAGATTAGAGATAGGAAGCCTCACTCCAAGGTTTGAATGCAGTTATGAAGAATGATGATGTGCAGGGAGGGGGGGAATCATTCCACTGGTGGACACACAGATTCTAGCTTAAAGCTCTTGCTACTAGCAGTTAAGCCATGAGAGACATTTCAGCTTTTTAGGGTGGGAAAAGATCTGTACAAAAGTACAGCGTCACCAAGCAGTAGGGTTATGTTGAAGGAGGCACGGGCCTTTGACGAAGCCCAGAGGACAGAGCTGGGACTTGGAAGGGACAGATCCAGTCCCCAGATTTGAAGTTCCCAACTTCTGCTTTAGACACTGCTAAACCCTTCCTCTGCTCTTTCAAGCTGTCTCTGTGTGATGAAGAAGCCAACACAGCCAAGTAGTTCACATCAAAGAAAGACCCTTGCATGCAACCTCTCAACCAGATACCTTCAGGAGCGTGGGGATAACAAGAACTCTTTGAACAGAAGTCACACAACTCTAGCCTGAAACTCTTCCAAACACTATCGTCTTTGTTTCAAAATATTTTCCATAAATCATCTGTATGGTTATTTTATGTACAGACTGATTAGTCACACTACAGAAACAAGTACTGTGATTAGTATATTGTATATGTGGAGTGTCTGTCATTTCTATCCCTCCCTTCTGAGCATGGAACCAGAGGAGAGCAGAGTTTAAGAAGAATGAGGTGGGGGGGGGAAGCATCATTTGCAAAACCAAAACACAGCTGTTGGGGCTAATTTTAGTTTTTCCCCCTCTTGACACTAGCCCTGTAAACAAGCTAGTTGCTAGTCAGAAACATTGCCTTGTTGCGCATCTCTGAAGTGTGGTGGGAATGTTAATGTGACCTTTCTTTCAAATTCTGTTTCTAGAGGCCTCTGAAATAATGAGAGACATTGGAACAGCCATCCAGCATCTGCATGGAATGAACATAGCCCACAGAGATGTCAAGGTGAGGCTCAAAAGTGTCTTGCCAGAGTGGATAAGTATGAAATAAGAACATCAGAGGGAGAGTGTTTACTTACACAAGTCCTGTTGCTACCCTGAAAAGAGGTGTTTTGTTCCTGTTTTGAATTATGAAGGAAGGAATTAAACTGGCAATGAACCCAAGAGTCTTCTGAATACATTGTTATCTAAGAAACCCAGTGCATTTAAAAAAATTTCAAAATAATGTATTGAAGAAGGCCAAATTTTGGTTTAAAATAGATGTTACCACATTGTAGTCTATCTACTACAAGAACAAGCTTGGTTTGGGGTGTTTGCTAATCAGTCTAGAGAAACGAAACAGTGCTTACATTTAAATAGAATTTATTCCCAGAAATTGTTCCTTTTCAGCTTCATTTTACTTCTCTTTCTTGACACTACCACAGCCAGAAAACCTGCTCTATACATCTAAAGAAAAGGATGCAGTGCTCAAACTGACAGACTTCGGATTTGCCAAAGAGACAACAGTGCAGAACGCTCTGCAGACTCCCTGTTACACTCCCTATTATGTAGGTGAGTCTGTTTTTCCCACCTTTCCATTTACTTATTTTGAAGATTTGTGACATGGGGGAAAGAGTGTTATACCTTAGAGAATATACTTCCACTGTCAAGCCTCAGCAAGGGCAGGCTCCATGTCATAGGTTTCCTGGACCCTTAGGGACAGGACTTCAGCCAGTCTAGAAGGCAGTGCATGGTCAAAAGTAAATGTAGCACAAGTGTCAAGGCAGAAATTCAGAGTTTGAGCTAGGGGAGAAACAAGTGGCTAGTCAAGGCTGGGCAAGGGTCTGTTTCCAGAGCAACAGCTGAGAATGGAGGCCAAAGCTTTGGCAGACAGTGTTCTCTCCCACAAGAGACAAACTGATCACCCTGAAGAACAAGCTTTGAGGCTTTATAGGTCCAGAAGGCAGGAATTGTCCCTCATGACCAGCTAATTGTTCAGGGTGGCTGGCTAGCTGGCACTGTCTTCAAAACACAGAACTGAACCTCCTCAGTTTTCTCTGGAAAACAGTGCTGGGAGCTCTGGGAGTGCACAAGGGAGGAACTTGATTCCAACATCAGGAAACATCAGTGTGCGGCACATACACACACGGGAATACCTCCACTCAACAGCCACACAAAATGTACAGCAAAGTATATTGTCAGGTTTCTCCAGTGGCCATCGCTGTGATTGAAATAATTAAAATGGTTTTGTTCAAGAAAAACGATCACTTTGAAAGCCGTTGTTCTGTAACCGAAGTGGAAAAAGCTGACGTTCACAGTGCTTTTGGTTCTCTTCTTCCTGCCACCACCCCTCAGCTCCAGAAGTCCTTGGTCCTGAGAAGTATGACAAATCCTGCGATATGTGGTCTCTTGGGGTCATCATGTACATTCTGTAAGTGTGAAATGTGAAGAAACTGAGATTAACAAAGAAAATCCATTGATAATGCCAGGTAGGACCAGCTGCTTTATATCCCAAGCCAACACCCATTCCTGATGAAGATGGGACTTAGATACTTTCATTTATGCTGCAATAGGAAGAATGAGTCATTGGGCTATTAGTCATTCTGTCAAAAGAATCAGTAGCCATCTGTGTCTCTACATGGCACCAAGATGGGAGGCAGGTGGCATGATTTCCTTCCCAGTGCAGAATTTTCCCTCTATCTCTCTCTCTCTCCTTCTCTTTTTTACCCAGTCTGTGTGGGTTCCCTCCATTCTACTCCAATACTGGTCAAGCCATTTCTCCAGGAATGAAGAGGAGAATCCGGATGGGGCAATATGGATTTCCAAATCCTGAATGGTCTGAAGTATCTGATGAAGGTGAATTAACTCACATGTGTGTTTGAAACAGGAGCATCAGAAATGAGTAACAAGTGTGAATGTGGATACACACAGACATATGAATGCGTCTATGTGTGCTGTTCTGTTGAGCCTCAGTGAGGTCTGGCCAGATTCCTGATTTTTTGAGTCCCTCAGCTATGGATCCATCTTCTTACCCTTAGAGTCAGCTAGTACCAGGGGTAGACAGAATTCAGCTAAGATCAGATTGGGATAAATTATAACATGATGACCTAGAGAACTCTTATATTATTAATGGAGTAAAATACTGTGATACAGCAATACCTAACTTCCTATTCCATTCATTGTACATTGTAGTTACTTTTTCATTGTATTTATTTATTTCTTAACCATAATTTCAGGAAATTCAGTTTTCAATTGAATAGTGACTTTTAAAAGTAACACCTGTGAAACTGTGTCAGTACTGAAATATTACAAATAGATCTGGAAAATGTTATTACAGAGCTGACAGAAAAAGAAGACGAAAAAGGGCCTATGAACAAATAAATAAAAATTGACTGCAGAATTAAATGGGAAGATTGACTACAATAAAAAACCTACACAAACTAATAAAACATGTTTATTTGAGGAATATAATACTTAAGTATTCTTTCATGTTCAAGAATTCCTTTCTAGCTTTGATTTCTGCAGACTGCTTAATAATTAAAATAAACCAAATGTTTCCTCTTCCTTTTTTACCTGAACAGAAATGCAGCAGACCAGCTCCTTCAAGCAGAAGTGCAAGTCTGAAAATAAAGCAAACAGCCCACTAGCTGACCAGCCCATTGGCTGGGACTCAGCCCCATTGGGGTCTTTGATAGTTCAGTCTTCCATATAACCCAGTAACTAGGTTTACTGGGAGCCTCATAGTGCAGTGGTTAAACTGCTGTACTGCTGCCAAAACTGTGCTCACAACCCAGGGTTCAATCCCTGGTAGCCAGCTCAAGGTTGACTCAGACGTCTATTCTTCCGAGGTCGGTAAAATGAGTAGCCAGCTCGCTGGGGGAGGCAATATGTAGCCTGCATAATTAACTTTTAAACTGCCCAGAAAGTGCTTTAAGTGCAATGGGGTGGTATATATTCAGCACGCTTTTCTTTTGTTTTGTTTTTTACTGATCCTTCCTTGGCACCCTAGCTCATCTCTGTCCTTTCACCTCTGGAATCCTCCTGTAGAATATTTGTGCCTCTGGATCTTTCAGGGAGGGTTCTACAAAGACAAGACAGAGACACTGACTGAGGTGATCAGTGCCACTCTATGGACTGTTTATAAGTCAGGAAGCAGGCAGCAGTAAGGTCGCTGAGCATAGCCTGAGCCTGGTGGGGCAGTCCCCCACTTGCCTGTAAGGATCAGCCTCTATTGCTTATGCTGCTCCCCTTTCAAATTTGCTACTGAATAGCAGCCAAAATTTAGGCCCCCTCAATCTTGAGATTCAGTTCAAATGTCCTTGCTGCCCCCCATGTAAGGCCTGTAGGGTGTAAATTCATTACATCTTCTCTACATAAGATGACTTGCATAGCACTTGGAGGGTTTGTTATTCATATATCTGCAGGGTTGTGGAAAAAGTGGTGCAACAGTTGAAAAATTATTTCTGAGAAGGATAATGAAATGCTGAAACCAGTTGTATTTTTTAAGCCCATGCTCTAGGGTGGGCAAGTGGTTGTCATGCTGCTGCCCCTCTAAGTGCTCATTTGTGCATGGAGTTATGCCCAGAGACCTTTGGGTAGTGTGGGCAGCATATAAATTAAATAAATAAATGAACAGTTTGCATGCATAAATGATTGGCTGCCTATATATTATGGGACTAGATGGTGTAGAAATTTTGTAAAAGTTGCAAACTGTTTTGGCTTTCTATCTTAATCATACTTGCATTGAAACACCAGACGCTCTTTCAGTCAGTGAGATTTTATTCTGTATAAACCTGATTTATACCCAGTGTGGATAGAGTGATGGACTAGGACTCAAGAGGCATAGATTCAAATTCCTGCTGAGCCATGGGGCGTGGAGCTGATAAAACCAATACTTAAATATCTCACTTACCTTGAAAGCCCTATTAGGGTCAGTACGAGTCAGTTCCAACTTGATGGCACTTAACAATGACAAACCTGATTAGTCTGGGAAGGGTCCATGGGTACTTGTCACAGAAAGATGCTTACAGCTATGTCTCACAGTTCAACTTATGGATCTATTTTAACTCTGTATGTAATCGTCACATTTTTGTACTCTTTTGCTCTCTCTGTAGGTCATCTTTAAATAGGGTAATTGTGTGTGTCCCAGAGTCATACGTAGGTGTTAGAAATGTTTGTTTGTTTTCTTAAAAGCTTGACCGAAGAGAGAAAATGGTCGTGGCTCAAGAATTCTTACTCATTTTTCATGTCTTTGGGTTTCATTTTCTTTCTGTTTGTCTTGTTTTCTTTTAATTTGCAGGCTTTCATTATGAATCTTTTGTTTTTGCTTTGTTTCAGCTAAGCAGTTAATTCGCCTGTTGCTGAAGACAGATCCAACAGAGAGGATGACAATTTCTCAGTTTATGAATCACCCCTGGATTAATGTAAGTCCTATGAAACCACTTCTCTCTCTCTCTCTCTCTCTCTCTCTCTCTCTCTCTCTGTGTGTGTGTGTGTGTGTGTGTGTGTGTGTGCACGCATACACATGCATTGTGGTAAGAAAGATATGACTATTTTAACCAAAAATCTATCCTGTAAAAAAGGATATAATTTCTCCATCATAGTGGCTGCCTGTTATGATAAGGAGTATAACTGTTTGAACCTGGCATCTGTCCTGTATAAAAGCAATATAAAACTCTCTCCCTGTGAGTGACAGTCAGGTACATTACACCCCCATCCCAACTGCTCTCAGACAGCATTTGCTGTTCAATGCACTGTGCACATGCCCTCCATTCCCTTACTTATAAAAAGCCGTGTTACCTCATCAGTGTAGGATTTATGGATGACTATTATTAGACATCCGTGGCACCCTCGTGCTGCACTGAGTTGATATGAATAGAGAACCCATTGCTTTGAAGGCATTCTCAGTCTTTGACATAGATCTGGAAATGCTGCGGACAGTGAGCGCGGCGGTGGTGGAGGTTTGTGCACAGTGCTTTGAGAAAAACAACACCAGAGGCTGCTTTTAATGGAGATGCTAACTAAAAGGCCACAGCAGTCCTGAACTAGGCCTTCGTTGTATAACCGAATTCTTTGCCTCAAGCAGAAAGCAATTCAGTGCTAAAGCCACAAGTCTAAAAGGTTTCACAATGTCTTTTCTGTGTATTGCTGTGCAGAAATCACCAACAGATTCTATGTTTCTTTTACCTGCCTCTTAGATTTCTGTCCCCTTCTGACATTAAGGCTCTGAGGAGCGTAGTGAATTTTATTTATATCCTTACATATCTTTAAAGGAGGAAAAATCAACTGACATATAAAATGACCTTAAATAAATCTATAAATAGCCACAGGGTACAGCTTGCAGGCAAGTTTTGGGGCTTGCTCTTAGTATAACTGAGAAGATGCAGCTTCCAATAGCTGTTTGGTCCTTTGGATGGTAACTAGGGCTAAACAACCTTCCTCCTTTCTCCCAAATCACCCCCTCTCCTCACCAAAATAATCCCATCCACCCTTGCCCTAATTTCAAAGTAAATTCTATGTTGCTGTTATATGGATCATTTTCTTCTCCATTTTTTTCTACTGCTACAATAATGTCATGGTGGTGGTGGGGAATGATTAACGGCTGCTGTCAGTCAGAGACCCAAAAACAGCTGCTGTCAGTCATAGATCCAAAAGTATAAATTATGCAAAGAATTTGCACCATACAAAACTATTTTTAATTGGTATGAAAAATGAGCCAGCAATAAAGGTAAATAGCTTGCTTAGGTTACAGAGATGGTTGATGTACAGCGTACCACCAGGTACAAAGTGAAATTAAAACAAAGGAGTTTACAGAAACATGTTTACAGCATATATTTCCTGCTGAGATTTAAACAGAAATGTGGTGGAAAGGTTAGCAAGACCATGTACTACAGCTACCGAGAGAGACTGTTAAATACACATGCAGTTGCTCTCCTTGTGAGTGGAAGAGGAGCCTCTCCTGCCGAATTCCAAAATCTACAAGGAGAATTGTGAGCAAGCTTTCATATTCTCCCAGTCCCCTTTATCAGGGGATATTACCAGTAGTGGTGGAGAGCCCAGCCTGATGGCGAAATTAAGATGTCCTCATGGTCAGAGTTGTAATATGGAATGGACGAAGAATTTCAAGGCTATAATAAATAAGGATCTAGCTCTAGTAAGTATCCAATTCTCTGTTTTGAAACTAAGAGTAGATTTAGTACATCTGGTTCCAATTCATTGAACCAAGACATTGAGATTTTACTAGGTTAGACTGACTAGATTAGGCCATATGATGTGTCATGCAAACTTTTTGGCTTACGCCTAGAACTGTTGAGACATATCGATAATGACTGATGTTGACATTTTTAGATATAATAAATCCAACACTTGCCTTGTCTGTTTCCACTTAATGGAAACCAACAGGCTCCTTGGTTAAAAGGAGTAGTATTAGCAAACAGAGCGTGAGCAATGTGTTTATCAGGAGAGGTGCTGCAAAGTAATATGCTAGGGAATCCAAATTAGGTGGCAGCATGTAGTGCCTGGAAGGAAGGATCCTTTCAGAGTAAAATCCCAGCTTCATGTAATAGTAACTCAGCTTTCATCAGCTGTAGAATCTTCAGCATAAACAGCTAAGCAGGCAGGCAAGTTAGATACCTATACAAGTAAAGGTAAATAGAAATGATCATCGGCTGAATCTCAAACTGAAACAAGGGAACAGCGGAAATAGTGTATATATAATAATAATACTCATATGTTAGTTGGCATAGGTCTATAAAAGGTTACTATTTAAAAATCATATTTGACCTAATTTTAATTGCTGCTGCTAAAAATTTAGCTGATGGTACCATCGCCTGTTTATTTATGTAATACTCACATGCTAGTAAGTCAGTTCCAACCTATAGAAAATCTTTCCAGGGTTTCCTAGGTGAACTCAGAAGTAGTTTACCAGTTGCTTGTTTGGGGGCATTCTGGGACTGTGTATTTTGCCCAAGGCCAAATAGGGTGGCTGTTCAAAAAGGCATAGTTGAGAATTGAACTCTGGGGTCCCCTCATTGAGCTATCCAACAGTAGTGGGCAGAAGATGATAAATCCCACAGAAGGGAGCATGTAGAAACTTAGTGGGGTGGTGGTGGCAGCATCACCTTTGTTCTAGCAGCAAAGCCACAGCCAGAAATCTAGCGTAAACCTAGTTTCATTAAGAAGGTAAAAGTGTCACATTCCTGGGGATTCAGCAAGTGAAAGTCCAATAAGCCAGTCCAAGGTCAGGAGTCCAGAAGATACAAAACAAATGGCAAATTGTCAAAGCCAAAACACAAACCATAGTCAGAGTCCGAAAGCCAAGGGTCAAGAGAGCAAGGTTCAAGACAAGCAGGAGCATGGACATGAGCCAGGGAATTGAGTTGTTGCTTCCAAGCCTCTGAGTACAAATTATATAGCAGCAACAATCATCTAATTCCTAGAAACATTCTATCCTGTTAAAACTCTAGGCTGGTTGACCTGATGTTCCTGCGCAAAGCATTCATGCAGGCCTCAGACCTCTGTGTTGTTAGTCTCTGAGGAAGCTTATCTCTCACTCTGGCTAGTGGGGGAAATGAGTCTGGTGGCGATTCAGTTGTCTGTGATACTAATTGCCCAGCATTTTCCTCAGCTGCAATTAACCCCTCTGACTCCAGGCCTTCTTTGGCTGAATTCATGACAAAAAGTTCTTCTAAGGTTATATTGGCAAAGGCTGCATAGTAGGCTTAGCTAGCTTATAAATGAAAAATCGTCTTATAAAGAAAGAATGGAGAATGCAGATTATGTTACCATGCTGTTGACTTTTCAACTTTTCTTGACTGTAGCTGTGATAATAAATAAATACAGAAAATTAGAGGAGATGGGACTCTGGACCTGTTCTCTTGTGACTTTGTATTGCTTTGAGTCAGAGCTTTGGAATATGGGTGGCTTATATCCCTTTGTTGCTCACCATTCACCATGCTGGCTAGGGCTTTGGGGAGTTGAAGCCTGACATCTGGGGGGCGGGGCGGTGTTCCTCACGTCTGTGGTAAGTATAAGGAGCAAGCTGGGGAAGCGAGAATGACAAAAATCAGAAATGATTCTGTCCCAGAAATGATAGCCAAGGATATCTTGCCCCAATTAATGCATTTTGCCAACAAATTAAACTATTTTCGAACTTAATGTTGTATCGAGAAGAGACAAGATCATTTTCAATGAAGGAATTCCCACAGCTACTGTAAAATGTATGATCATAGGAAGGGACAACAAAAGCACCCACAGAGCACTCAGTAGTACAAGAAGTGGGTGTATTGTTGCCCCATCTGCTGGTGCGGGTGAAGTCTCTCTGTTGTCCCAGCTCCACCTCCTTTTGCCAGGTACCGGAGCTAGCAGAAGCGAACCAGAAGTGAAGAGAGTGAATGGATCCCATTATAGATACAGTACTCAGGTCAGAAATGCCCATGCATGCGCTCCATCAGCCATGCCTTGCCAGGAGTAACCAATCTTCTGCAATCCTGCATGAAATATTTATCCTTTTTTAAACATTTAAATTAACTTAAGAAGAGAGTAAAATATTCTGTTCAGAGTTACATGCTGTGCAGTTGGTAAAGGTCGAAATAAAATCCAAGGAAGCTTGTCTTGTGTCTTCTGCTTTTAAACCTGCCTGTATTTATGTAATAAGTTTATGTCTTGCTTTTTAATTAAAAATAATGCTCAGCAACAAACAATACAATACAGATTTTTTTCTTTATTCATGCCAGAAATAGTACAGAATACAGAGCAATATATAATTAAGCAGTAGTGTGCATATTAGATAGATAGATAGACAGACAGACAGACAGACAGACAGATAGATATAGAATACAAGCTGCTTTACAAAAATAAAATTGTAAAGCTTACATAAGTATTTCAGACACTTTTTGCCCAATAAGAGGCAATATCAAGAGCATTTGGGGCAGCTAGCATCACAATGTCTGTAATACATTGAGGGGGGCACAGTGTACACTGACATAGGTCTGAGGTTGCTTGATGTTCTCCACACTTGGAGAGAACTGTGTCAGTGTGAAACCCTCTTTTTCTAAGGTTCATCTTGGCTCTGCCAGTTCTGGTCAATAGCCAATACAGAGGAGATGAACAAAGAAAGTTACTGGAATTCGTCAAATAAGAAAAAATCTAGCAAACAAAAATATCAATTTCTGCATTTTCAGTTAAATCAGCATATGTTGCAAACTCCCTCCGCTGGTAGATCACTTCCATAGTGTCTATTCGATTTGACATTTGCTTGCTTATGTGTTCCTGTAGGAAGATTCATGCAAGGTGCATCTGTGAAGAAATGTTGCAATCCAACAATGTTGCATAAAAATGCAAATTTCTATGAAGTGCTCATGAACAGGATACTAAGGGTACAACAGGACATCAAGACATGGTTTCAGCTATAACAGAAGCTATACAATTGCTTGTTGTTGAACTGTCATCAGCTCTCAAGGAAACCATGGAATCATAGTTAGAGGGAGGAAGCAAGGGTGTCTAAACCCACCATTACGGACAGCAAACAGCAGATCCCTGTCTTCCAGTTGTGGGTTAGGGGCCCGTGGCGGTTTCGTCATAATTGAAATCTCTTTCTGGGAGTCATTGGCATGGAAGAAACCAGCAACAATATAGGAGAAGTCACTCATACCCTTTATTCCTACAGTGTTTCAAACAGTCTTTTCAATCTATTTCCACCAGTCATTTCTTTTTAAATGAGTCTAGCAACTCCATTAACTTCATTTTAAATTATATTTAGCTTGTTGTTCTTGTTGCTTTTGGGTTTTTGGCCATGACTATTAAGAGGCTGAACAGACCTCACCACCTTGCTCATTTGGAAAGGCAGGATAAAAAAATACTGTGTTTGCATATTCACTGGAACCATTTTTAATCCGCTTCATGTATTTCCCTCCACTTAATTCCCGCCTTCAAGTCTTGCTTCTGTGTCTTTTGAGAGCCAGGGCGGACTAACTTGAGTATGAAAAAAAGACAAAACCTCCCAGGAAAATCCTGCAGTAAATTGAAAAGTAGTGGAATAGGAATTTAAGCAGAAGATATTTAGTACATACTGAAATGAATTATTAAAAACCAATCCAGTGAGAACACATTATGGGGAGAAAAATGAGTTTTGAAGAGAATTAGAGGGGAGAAAAGAGTAGTTCTGTTTCTTTTTGCACACACACATAAACCTCCCAAGCTGTTGCAGCATGAAAATATTCCAATTTTCCATTATACTTGAGTTAGCCTTTTCTCTCCATGCACAGCTTACGTTGCTTGTACCATCTGGAGCAGTCTGCTCTGCAAACACCTTCTTGCAGCAGCCAGTCCAGATTGTATAACCTGTTTTAAACAGGAGTAGGGAAAGCAAAGCCTTCCTGATGTTTCAGATGATAGTTCCTATAAGCTCTAGTCAGCATAGCCGGTGGTCAGGAGTTTGGCTTCAGGATGTCTGAAGGACTGTATCCTCCCATCCAGCCTGAACTATATTGCAACCAAATGGCTGTAGAGGAAAGGTCTTTTGAAGATGGATATTGTATTTTTTAAAAAGTGCTTCTAAGTTGTTGTGTTTTAATATTATTGGTTTAAAAATGTATTAAATCTTGTGCTGCAGTTTCAAGAGGAGGCAGGACATAAATCAAATCCATAAAATAAAAAGTACTGCAATCTGAAAGGTACTGGGTTGCTTATACCCGGTACCTATTTTTGTACTGCATTACCAGGGTGGAGGGATTAGATCTTTTTAGTTCAAAGGCTTAAATACACATTATACATAAGCACACATCTTAGAGACTCATCACTGACTTTGGTTATTTTCAGGAGAGACTAATGATTTAATGCAAGGAGATAGTGAAGGCAGAGAAACCCATCAACCCTGCCTTTCTTTCTATTGTATTCCTGCTCCAGCATGATACCTTCCTATTACCATTTCTTTCTGTGAGATTCCAAACTTGTGTGCTTCCCTGCATTCCAGTCTTTTAAACATGCCCCAGCTATAGGACTGCACAAATTAAGAGTTTTTTTAGTTATATTAAAAACACAACTGTGTGTACATCTTCTCTTTCATGTTGCTTAGGAAGACCTGTAATCATCTCATCAGCAGGAACGACGAGTGGCTAGGTATGCGTGTTCTGTTGCCAGAGATAATTGTTATACATGGTTGTTTCTTCACTCTTCTTAGCAATCCATGGTGGTGCCACCAACTCCTCTACACACAGCCAGAGTCCTGCAAGAGGATAAAGATCACTGGGATGAAGTAAAGGTATGGGTTGAATAGGTTCATAAACTGGGTACAGAGTTTGGAAGTAACTGGTCACAAAAGCTGGATTTCTTGCAATTAAATTCATTTTCCAGATAATAAGACTAAAACTACATTACTTTTGTTTCTTAACTGAGCCATAACAGGATTCCTCTTCTAGTGCAAATCTAAATGTGTGTGGTATCACTAAATGGTGATGGAAGACTATCACATTGTTCACGTTATAGCTTTCGCTGCTGCTTTGTGCTATGTTTTATACCACAGGCCAAAGGCTTATAGTATTTAGATTTTTAAAAAATGAGTAAAAAGGCAATTACTTCTGTTGCATTTGCAGACTAGGAAAGCAGAGTTGCTTTTCAAGAATTCTAGCAGTAATGTTAGCTAATTACTTTATATACCTTATATTTTTCTACACTTGTATTTGGCTAAGGCTAGAACATGGGATGGGCATCTATAACCTTCCTGATGTTTCTGTAGAGCTGTCACTAGCCAGTATGACCAGCGGGGAGAGATTTACTGTCTAAGACAAGCTGGACATCCACAGGTCTGCAATGTTGGCTTAGCACACAGGAAAATGGCAAATTATTAACACTAACATACATATAGCATTAAAACAATACAAATTTTGTGATGTTTCTTTTAGTGTTAGGTTATTCATTTTACCTTGGTCATTCTTATCTCTTCATCCGAAGTGTACAGTATTCATTACTGCATATACATCCTTCCTCCCTTGTCATTCAGCCACATAGTCTAGTCATGCACTGTAAGTTTGTTGGAAGGGAAAACACAGTAACTAGCCTTGGTTAAATGAGTGCTCTGTTTTTGTCAGGCAGACCTTGGAAGTAATGAATTATAAGTAATGTGGTTACTTCTAATGACTTCCTTGTTTTTGCTCTCTCAGTAAAGGTGTAGCATAGGTACATTTCAAAAAGTAATGTAAAAATGGAAATATATGTTACTTTAGGGGCATCAGGTGTACATTAATTCTTCAAGTTACTTTCAAAGGGCATTCTTAGATATCTTTAGAAGCATTTTGACAGAAATTTTCCAAGTGCTATGCCATTTTCTTGTTGATTCTTTAATTTAACAGGTGTACATTAATTCTTCAAGTTACTTTTAAAGGGCATTCTTAGATATCTTTAGAAGAAATTTTCCAAATGCTATGCCATTTTCTTATTGATTCTTTAATTTACGCAACAGGGAATGTTGAAAAGCAAGTAATACTCTGAAAAGTACAGTTCATGGACACACTTTCAGATATTTCAATGTGTAATGGGAATAGATCACTTAAAATGTAACCTTCCCAAGTTCTGTCATCACTGCCTACTGGTGGGAAGTAGCTTTGCCTCCTTAAAGAGTTCACTTTTGGCTTCCTTTGGGTTTTAGGAGGAGATGACTAGTGCTTTGGCAACCATGCGAGTGGACTACGACCAGGTGAAAATTAAAGATTTGAAAACCTCCAACAACCGTCTCCTCAACAAACGGCGCAAGAAACAGAAACAAGGAGGCACCTCTTCAGCTTCTGCTGGATGTAACAACCAATAAAGAGAGGACAGAAAGCTAAAAATCAAAAGGAACAGCTAGCCCAGCGGGGTTTAGCTCCTCTTTACGACAAAGGATGCATCTTTTGAAACGATGAGCCTGTGACGAGCAAACAAGGTTTACTGCAATGAAAGTGCAATGTACTGGAACTTCTTATCTGGAGATAGTTTATTTTTTTTCCTAAGGGGAATTTATTTGTTTTTACCATTCTTTTACATTTTAGTAGAGGTTTGCTAAGGAATTCCAGAAAACCATAATGCTCCAGTGAAGCTTTAGATGAAAAGATTGTTCTTCAGGCAGTTCAGGTTGAATACTTAATGGCCAAAACTCAGCCACCTCTAAGCATTCTTAAATCTCTTTGTTTTATCCTTAAGCACAGGTTTAACTCTTTAACTGAATTTAGCAGAATGTCAAACTGCTTAATAGTTTATAGACTGAAGTAAAAAAAAAAAAAAGCTCTTTTTTCTACAATCTTTAGAATACTACCACCACCAGTATCCAAATGACCTAATGCTGAGTGTTGAAGTCCAACAAAGGTGTTCGAGAACACATCCAACAAAGTAACTTTTCCAAACTCTGATCATTTATGACAACAGAAGTTGGTCATAAAGTTCTTCCTGGATTCAGCTGGTCAGTTGTCTTACTCTACATATATAACACTTTTATTCTTCACACATAATTTCTTCAGCTGGTGTTCTATAAGCCTACTTTGATTTTAAATGAATGATCAAAGATTGGATTACAGCTAATCTTCTGTTATGTTAAATCCCAAAGCTCAACATAAATCAGACATGCATTTAATTTAAGATTTCAGTTGAAAGAGGATCCTATGCAATCCAGAGGGAACCCAGGAGGTCTTGTTCTCTTTCTAAACCAGTCTAACCTTTCACTTCCTTTGTTACAGGCGAAGCTTACACCAAACATAGGATGCTGGCTTCTGACCAAGGCAGGCCCTACCATGAGTTGGTGCTGCCTCCACCCCTGCCCCAAGAGGATCTTAGCTGCTCTTGGCACAGGCAATTTTCTTAGTCACCTCTCCCACCCTCTCTCCAGGAGGCAGACTTCCATGAAATAGCTGGCCTGGCAGCGAGTGGAAGGGGTGTGCTTAGTGCAGGGGGGCTGCCACAGCTGTCGACCTTTTTTCTTCTCCCTCCCTGTCCCTTCTGTCCTATGGTGGGATTGGGCATGGAGGTTTCTGCTGCAGGGAAGACTGGGGGACTCCTTGTCTTGTTGAGTAGGGTAGTTGGCCAGCCCTTCCTGTCTGCAAAATGATGTGTGGAGGTGGGGATGCAGTGGGAGGGGCCATCACTCTGGCTGTGGAAGAGCTTAGACCACCTCAGATTCTGACTTCTGCTGTTCTACCCACTGATTGGTTGCAGTCACCTGTTAGATTGAATATACTGTATCATCCTTCTGTATACAGTGGAAATACCCAGAGTGGTGTACTAGATAGAGTGACAGACTAAGACTCGGGAGACCTGGATTCAAAATCCCTCAGCCATGAAAGCTCACTGGGGGAGTGGCACTGGTAAAACCACTCTTAAATGTCTTATTCACCTTGAAAACCCTATGAGGGTCACTATGAGTCCATTCTGACATGACAGCACATAACAAACAACAACACAATGGAAGCATTAAAAACCTGTGAATACGCCAATGCCGATCCTATGTTCAAGCAACTACTCATGCACAGAAGCTTGCCTATATGGAGATGTATTATTATTATTACAATTTCTCCTCATATGTGCGGCTTATAGGACTCGGGTATTTATGATTAAGTATGTTTTCCTTTAGGGCAGACATTGTAAAATCGGAAGGTATGTGCCAATTCAAAACATTCAAGTAGGTACAGTGGTGCCTCACACAGCAAGGTTAATCTGTTCGGGATTAACCCTCGCTGTGTGAAAGCATCGCTGTACGGATCAAAAAAAGCCATTGGAACGCATTAAACAGCATTTAATGCGTTCCAAATGGTCAAAAACCCACCGTACAGCGATGCTTTTCCGGGTCCGGCAGCCATTTTCGCGCCCTCGGTAAGCGAGGGGAGGGCGCGAAAATGCTGCGCGCGGTCATTTCGGCCGCAGCGAGATCGTGGATCAGCTGGTCGGCGGGTCCAAAATGACCGCCGGAACAGCCGAAATGGCAGCTTACCAACCTTTGCTCTGCGATTTTCGCCCTATGCGGGCACCGTTTTGCGATCGCAAAACCGGCCTCGTAGAGCGGATTCATCGCTCTACGAGGCGCCTGTTGTGCGAGGCACCACCGTACTCCCTTCAGAAACATGGTGGCCAGAGACACCAGGAACAATTTTGCTGCCAAACATTCTCAAAGATGTTAGCCAAAGTTCTTCCTATATCTCATGGTGGGCTGGTCATATACTGTAGTACCTCAAGCCCATGCTAATTATTATTATTCAAGCCATTCCATTAGCTGCAAGGTGTTCCCATGAAAAGGGGAAGCATGCCTGATAGGCGTCCAACAAGTCTGTGTTCCCCTGCCCTCTAGTAAAAGGATACTCAGCCACTTGCAGCCCTTCCCTGAGCTCTGTGGTTTTTGGAAGGTGCATTTTCCTTTTGCCCTTGGCTTTCCTCACACCTCAGCATCGGCAAGAGAAGTTCTTAGAAGACACTGGGATTTCTCGGAAGGCTCCAGGGAGAGGTGGTGCTTGCATTGTGATCTGTTCTACATAAGCCATAGTGACAGAGGACTCCCGCTTGTTCCCGTCTTTCTCCAAATTGCAGCAGAAATGTGGCAAACCCCTTTCTCTCCTGTCTGTCCTTTCTCTGAGAGTGCCAGAAGATTTGAGCAGAAGGTAGAGGATTTGTGGCTTATCGGTCAAGCTTACTCAGTATTTATGGATGGCTGCCTTGTGATCTCTTGCCACAATTACACAAGTTGTAATGTGAATCGGCCTGTGAATCGGCCATGCCCAAGACCTCCACTTCTCACACAGTGCCTCTCTTTGAGCTGCAAATAAAAAACTGAACCAGTATCAAGAAGCTGGATGAACTCACAAACTCATGACTGTTTATGAAATGCTAATGTTTTGCATAAATTAATAAATGGTTCCTTGGCTTTTGTTTTCTTAAGGAGGCCCTGCTTCTTCACTGTGATTAACCTATATTTTTAACATGACCCTGTCTCCTAATTTCAATTAAATAATGGACTTCTCCCCCTTTCCTCAAAAATGGGTGCACTTAAGAAGCATCTTAATTTGAAGGAAATATTTCCACATAGCTAAGAGTGCTATTTCTGTCCTCCAATCAACTAAATTTTATAATTTTGTAGTAATTTTTAGTAAGGTTGAGATAAAAGGGCTAAAAGACTCAGCCAGTCTCCACAGGGGTGAAGGCATCCATTCCTCAAGATGTATGAACTGACAATAGCTCAGTGATAAGCACCCCAGGATGCCACAGGTTCAATTCCCAACACCTCCAAATAGAATTGGAAAAGACTCTTGCCCGAAGCCCTGAAGAGCTACTGCCAGTTGGTGAAGATAATATGGAACTAGATGGTCCAACAATATCAGCTAATATACAAGTTTCCTAAGGTTATTGGGTCAGCCTTGCTTATGGGTAGAATTGTCCACTTCTCTCTCCGTTACTGCCTTACCCAGTGTTCCTTTGGGTCTTACTGGAGCTGCAGTTGCATGAGCTATGCAGCTACTTCTGAGTATGGTGGCCACTCCAATTCGCTTCATGCAAGGTGTGCTTGTTTCATCTATCCAGAATAAATATCCCTTCTCCCAGTTGCTTCCCCAGGCCAATGTCCTAAACAGGTATTATTTCTGCCTTGGAAATGCACTGTACAGTTGGCAGGAACACATTACAAATGTGCCTGACAGAGGGGCAACGAGCAACTTTCAATGGCTTTGGGGACCATTTTCAGTCCCCAATCTATCTAATTCTTGAGAATTACTGATCCTTCCAACACCCTGAAAATATATTATCCACACATGGTTACAAAAAATTGCCCCCAAAATGTTGAATCATGCCACCCCAGAAATCCCTAAAGGGCACCATTTGCTATTTAAAATGTTTATACCCATTCTGGGTTTGTTTTAGGCCTTTAAACATTCTTTTTGAGAAACAGGAAGTAACTGGCTGGCCCTAAGAAAGTGCACTTTGAGCCCTGGCTGGCACATATGGCTCAAAGGCCTTGCTTGAGGCCCCGTTACAGACTGTATGTCCAACATACAATGCAGAGGTTTTTTTCTACACAGAAATTTCACCTCTGTGGGATGCTATACTAGGTTACTGACCTGCTCAGCAGAAGCCATGATTCCAAGATGCAGGGCACACCCATATTTGCCTAAAATGCAAATGACACTACTGACATTTCTGGATTTAATGAGGGGATGGATTAAGAATATCAAAACTTGGAAGTCAAATGGAGCAATGATGTGCACTGATTTAATACTGGGATAGTTATAATTCATGCTTTATCTACCTATATATATAATTAGCACAGCATCTTAACTTATTGAGTAAAATAAGTTCTGAAAATATGCATGTGTTCCTTTTTATCCTTACAACAATCTTGTGAAGTAAATTAAGCTGTCATTAGACCATGTTTGCCAGTTAAACTTCAATGACCAAGGAAGGATTGGGACCCTGACTACAGACATGCAAAACTTCTAAATTCCTATTGTCTTTCTCCTGCCCCTCCGAGTCTGCGCTTCCCAAATTTGTTTTCTTTAAATGCAATGGTGCATGTTCACCTGTCTCACAAAATCCATGTCTCTGGTTTCCTGCAATTAAGACAATTAGCCCATCTCTTTCTGCTGAACTTGGTTATTGTTATTATGCGTCATCAATTTGCTTTTAAGTTATGCTGGCCTTACATGCTAATGACCTCCAAAAGTTGCTATTATTAACAGCTCTGCTCAGGTCTTGCTAAATCAAAATTGTAGCTTCCTCTATTCAGACAGACCATCACATGTTACATTTTCTTCTACGACTACTGTCTTCTGCTTTTCCTAGCATTACTGGCTGACATTTTGGTGCACAGCTCTGAACATTCAATGGAGATTGTGTCATGGTCAAAGGCAAATTGTCATTGATTAAATGTAATTTGGGATGTACACTGATTAACACAGTATGATAATCAGATGCACCCTAAAATCCTCCAAAGTAAGCTTTTAATCAGCAGTGACTTGCAATTGATGATGACATCATCATGGGGCTGCACAAACAGGATTTCAACCATTGTCTTTCCCAGGGAGTCTTATCTTATCTATACCTTCCGTTTAAACATATTAGTTTTTAGCGAACATTCAGACTTGATTTGACCTAGCATTCCCTTTTTTATTTCCTGGTGGCCCACAATACCTGCAAAGATCTCCTAAACTGCATCTTGAACAAACTGAATTTTTTCCTTTCTTAATTGTCCAGCATTCACATTCATACACAATAATGAATACTGCAGTACGGATGATTT